TTTCTGGGGTCGGCCCCTGCTGAACTAGTCTGCTTCTTCGACCTCGGCGGCCTCGGCAAGCTTGAAGATGGAGATGGATCTGCGGCCTTCGGAGAGTGCTGCGGAGGCTTCGGGGGCTTGTCTGCTGTCTCGGCGGCCCCCCCCGCATCGGCAGACGCAGCGGGCCTCCCCGCGCTCTTGTGCGAGGAGCTGTCTGACGGAGGCTTCCGCCCACGTCGGTAGAACCTCATATTCTCGATGCCGGCCTTCTTTTTGCAATCCGATTTGTATCTTCCATCGGGGAGCTTGCGTCGCACTACACTAGCTATCCACCCAATGCCTCTGCTGTGATATACCACTGCGCCACCCCCTTCCAGGGCCGTGTCCTCTGTGACTTGTGCATCGGTGCCTATATTTGCAACAATGTCGCCGCCAGTATCGGACTCGCATTCGTATGCAGACGCAGACGCAGGTACAGCGGGATCAACAGCTCGTGCGAGGCCGGACGCCTCGTCTCCTTTATTAGCCGTAGCTGGCGGGCCACCCCGCGCGTCCTGGTCCTCGCTGGCATCTTCGCGAGAAGAAACAAGTCTCCCCGCAGATGGGGCTGCTGGTGCATGGAGTCGGGCCTCGTGGTATCCCCGACTGCAGCGCTTAAGTCGGTGCTCCTCATCCAGGGCTTCCCAATGTTTTTCAGCGAGTCCTGCCTGGGCCGCGTCTAGCGGCTAGTAGTCCGCTATGGTCAGGCGCGCGTCGCTGGGTTTGCAGCTTGGGTCCACCACGCGGCCTTCGCCGCCCCCGTGGGGCCAGGCCCATGGGGCCCTCCCGAAGCCGGGGCCCCTCGAAGGGCGCCCCGTCGGCAGTTCGGTCTGCGGCCCGCGAAATGCTCGCATCCGCGGACTTCCCTTCGGTGCGTCTTCCGATCTGCAATGACGGCTCTGTCGCTGGCCTTCCTTTCCAGCGTTTCAACTGTTTCGGCGCCGCCACTTTTGTTGGCGCCGATGATTTTGCCCGTTTCTTGGCCCAGCTGCACGCGCCGCAAAGACCAAAAATGGCGGACTTCATGCTCGGGCCAACCCCCTGCCCGCCATTGCCTCATATAGTCGTCTGGTAATTACCTGTTGGCGAGCTTCCCCGTCGTTCTGATCGCCAACTAGTCTGCTGCGAGGCTGGCCCCCGGGCTCGCCTGAAACCTCCTCGCCCTGATGCGGGGTGCCCCGCGACCGTGCCCTTCTTGGCGATCCTCTCGGACCTCGTGGATGTGGGCGCTGCGTGCCGCTTGAGCGGGCAAGCGGGCGCCTGCGCGAAAGACTCCGCCGGCGATGGCGCGGCGGATTGCTCTCAGCCCCAACTCCTCATCATGATCCTTTAGCGCGCCCCGCGCGTCTCCAGGCCTTGCGGCTCGAAGGGCGGTCATGTGGCGCAAGGGTGAAGTGAGAACCTTCGTCGTGTCCGAGTTCGTGCTGGACCCGCTCAGAAAGGTCACCAGCGTGGCGCGGGATGCCCCGCAAAGGGTCGTCGGCGCAAGTTGCCCTGCACGCGGGGTTATCAATCGCCTGCGGTCGGAGCAACAATATTGAAGCTCCTCCTCCGTAGCCGGCGTCGTGCCATCATCAGAACTACCCGGCTCGCCCCCATCAGAGTGCGCAGGTGCCCCCGCCATCTGGCCGTCCGAGTCGGCAGGTGGTCGGCGCTCCTCGAGGACCCCCGCGCGCGCAGGTTGCCCCGCGATCGGGGTGCCCAGCCAGTCTGCGAGATCGATCTCGACGTGGCCGACGTAGTCCTCCTCGCAGCGCTCCTCGGCGCACCTCTCGAGGGAGCGCTGGCACCCGCGTGCCTCGCGGGCGCGAGGTGGGCGGCGGCTGCGGGATCGCCCTCTGGTTCGGCAGGGGGGGGGTTCGGAGTCGACATCCTGAATGTCAGAATCGGTTTGAGCCACATGTATCGACGGGCCCCTGCCTCTCTCGTCGCCCCCGGGGCATTCGCGACGAATGCGCGGGTGCTATGGCAGATGTCGCGCTCCATGGTTTTCCCGCCGGCATCCTTCGGGTTGCCCCGGCGCCCCTTTTCCTGAGGTGCGCCCGCGGCCTCTGCCCCCCCCCTCAGGAAGATTTCCTCGCGCTGCGGCCCCGTGGGGGGGTGGGGGGGCAGGAATGTCAGCGCGCCTTCGCCATGTAACCGTCGTTGTTTACCCTTGCCCCTACCTTGCCCTTTGACCGAGACGCGCGCCGAACTGCGTGTCGCGCCCTTCGGACCGGCGGCTTCGTAAGACGTCTCCATCGGCGTTTGTGCCCCGGGGGGCCCAAGAATATCCATTGTGCCTGTTGCTGATCAGTGAGGCTCGCGGGCATATCGGGATAATCCAGGTTGCCAGTTCCTTCATCTGACGAAGTGTCGGTATCGGTGCCTGAGTCAGAATCGAACTCTGCACGTTGCCCCGCTGAGCTCATGAGGGCAGTGGCTCGGGGGGGGGGGGGGGGGCCGCCGTTGCCGACGGCCCGCGACATCGAGCCCCTGAGTCTTGCGAACCCATGGGCTGGCCATGGGTCGCCATTCCAGACGGCGCCGGCAGGCTGCCCCGCATGAGTGTCGCCATTAAAGATATCAGCGCGGTGGCCGCGGCTAAATGCATCACCAATGTTGCCGGGGGTTCGCTCGGCAAAATAGGCGTTAGCCCGCGTGCGCTCCAGTCAGGAAGTCGAACTGATGCTGAGTCCTTGGCACTTCGTGGTTCAGTGGTCGTCGTAGTTGCTGCGCGCGCGAAGTGCCGACGCCTAGGGCCCTGAACAGTATGACTGCCCGGGTCTGGAAGTTTGGGGCGTTGAACCCCGCGGCGTCAGCTTCGAAGCGCGCAATCTCGAAGCGGGCCAGCGCCTGGTCCATCCGTTCCCCCGCATGGACGCGAAAGTCAATGAGAACCGCTCCCGGATTAATTTGTCGTTACTCATCCAGGTTCTCAAACTTAGGGCTGAAGGGGAACATTCTGTAGGTGGCGCTATCGGTGTGGCGCCCGCAAATGTTCACTCCAAGTTTGATTACTGCGGGGGGGGCTCCCATGGCTATGGTCCTAGCGAGATCTCCGAAGCCGCGCTGTAAAGCGGCGGCCTGTTGGGAGGGGTCATGACGTGGTCACGGTGATCCAAGCATGTACCTCGTGAGCGGGCTCGCGAAAAGGTGCGTTACCGGCAAAGTCCCAATGAGAGCCGGCGTGCGCGTGTCGTCTGCGCCAAACTGCGCATGTCCAACAGCGCATCCGATGGCGACCTGGAGGAGGCCAAATGTAGCGATGGCAATCCAGTGGCCCCGTAGGTCGGTGTCGGTTGTACGTGGTTGCAAGAGGCCTCTGCGTGAGCAGAGACAGCAGTGCAAGTGTCCTTGCGATGGTATAAAGCTTCTCCACGTAGAGCCACGTCACCCTGATGTTCTGCCATGTCGGCAGTACACCAGATAGTGCTGTGGATAACAAAGAGTAGAGCTAGAACTGACCACCAACGGCCAGCTCCGCTACCAAGTAGAAAGCTGGTCGGGAGGCCCAACCAGATGGTTCGCCCAAGGCGAAGCATACGTCCAACCCTATTGTATCGCATTAGCGATAATGATAGAAGTAGGAAGGAACCGCTTGAGCGGCGACGATGCATCTCAAGAAGAACGGGTGGAACGTTTTGTGTCTCGATGTAAGGTAGCGGGGCGCGGTGCGTCTCGGTCATATAAGTGGCCGGTCACGTGGCCAAAATGGCCGCGGACAAACGCTCGATACCTCTCGCCGTTGCCTTCCCTCCTTCAGAATGATCCATTCATCTTTCCGCACGTCTGTCTATGATCCCACGCATGAACTCATTCATGTGTTCGTCCGTCCTTCCATGCAGTCATGAAGCGAGCGTCGAGGGGGTTCAGCGATATATGCGCGCAACTTTGAGATCAGGCCGCTCCCGCTTGCGGTGTGCCGCGCGAAAGCACCGTGGCAATGGCATTACACCCGAAACTCGATACCTGGCCACTTGTCCGTCCAAGTAACCCCAACCCACCCGATATTACGCAACGTCGCCTCCAGCATGACACTCCGTGACCCTACCTAGCTTCATACGGCGTGCCGCCTACGTCCGAGAGGCCACAATAACACCACACTGTGGCCCGAGGTGGCCACGGAACTCCCCGAGGGTGCTCACAAGAGAGCATCATAGAAACATGCAGAGTTAGTGACTGTTGCCTTCTCGCCTTTCCGCTTCCATACAATTTCTCAAGCCTGAAGAGGGCCCCGCTCTGGCCCAAGAGGATTTTCGAAGGACCCCAAGAAGGCTCCCCATATCCTGAAGAACAGCCCAAGGAGAGTCCCGACATGGACCTGAGAAGCAAATTTTTCGATTCCAAGGGGGCCGCCGCCAGTGGTCACCCACAAGAATGGCAAAACAAAAACCCAACAGAGTTCCAAGACGGCTTCAGAAGCTCCGAAAACGGCACCAGGAGAGACCCATTGTGGCTCCGAGAGGCTGCCGTAGGTCCCCGAGTTGCCATTGCTGTGGCCTTTTCGGGCTGACCACGGATTCGTTTGGACTGGTGTCCCCCGTTTTCGTTCCACGAACGCTTCCCGATTATACTTTTCATGGCAACTCGCATTGGAAGCGATTCTGGATGGGATGTTTTTGGGTACTTCTTCCGTCGCAACCGCAGGCGAAGGCGCCAGCAACGGGTCGAGTCGGCTCGGGCTACGAGCGAACCTAATTGCCAGCGCGAGCGCAGAAGAGAGCAGGACCTACCGCAGGGGGAAGCAGCTGCGCCAGGGCCGTGCAGGGGATGTTTTTTGGGTACGCAAGGCGCCAAATCGCACAACGCTGCGTGCAACTTCTGCGCCAAACTACTGGGGAACGGCGGGTGATGCGCAGTCGGCCTCCTCGACGCAATTACACATGCATGTATAGCTGTATGTGCGCATGTTGCAACAATAAAGATATGGTCTGCCCTGCCGCTAAGGTTTCACATGCGCTGTGCTCCTTCGCCCTGAGCTGACAAACTCCAGATGGCACACGTCTCTCACGATACAGAAGGTCTCCTTACCAGCGAACAAGGCGTCTAAGATCGACGGTGGGACCTCCGTGGCTCCACCAATATCTTACAAGCGCTGATCGCCGTGGCCCCCTGATGCACAACGCGTCCTGTATCTTTTCCTTCCCCCCAAGCCTCTCTCTCTCTCTCTCTCTTTCTCTCACTATATATAATGTGTATAAGCACACATTTCATATCGGAGGTTGGGAAGTGAGATCGAAGTGGAACGGGGAGCCCCCCACTGGGCAATCGGCTTTGGTTTCGGGTTCGTGTCGTGCGTGCGAGGCGAAGCTGCGTGGGCGGGCGAAAGGAACGACTCCGCTGTGGCCAAAGCGGGTCAAGACAAAAAACCGCCCCTCCGGTGGGCCGGCGGGGCCAGGGGTGTCCCGCCGTGGTGTCCCGCTGTGGCGTCCCGTCGGTATGCCGTCGGTGTCCGCGGGCGGTGACCAAGGGTTTCCCTCCCTGGTGTCCCGTCGGTGTCCCGTAGTGAGATCGGTAGTGGGACTGGAAGTGATAACGATAGTGAGATCGATAATGATTCCGATAATGACAGGGATCATGAGATCGATCGTGAAATCGATAGTGAGATCGGTCGTGTGATCGATCGTAAGTTCAACAGTGACATCGATATTGAGATCGATCATGAGATCGATCGTAATAAGGATCGTGAGCTCGATCATGGGATCGTTTGCGGTATTGAGACCGATCATGACATCAATCCAATGAGATCGATTGTGCGATCGATAGTGCGTTCGATAGTGAGACCGATCGTGAGATCGATGAAAAGATCGATAGTGCTATCGATACTGAGATCGATCGTGAAATCGATAGTGAGATCGATAATGGAGTCGGTTGTGGGATCGATAGTAAGATCGATAATGATGCCGAGCGTACTATGAATTGTGGGATCGATCGTGAGATCGATCGTGGGATCGAAGGTAAGATCGTCAATGCTATCGATTGTGAGATCGATAGTGGGATCGATCGTGATATCCATTATAACAATAAGATCGATCGTGAAATCGATATGGTGAGACTGATCATTATATCGATAGTAAGATCGACAATGGTATCAATCGAGTGTGGCTTTGGTTCCTCCCCCCGAACCTCTTTACCCCCCCAAGGGTGGTCGTATAGGCGTCTGTATGTGTGAAGATTCTAAGGCCAAGTGTGAGGTCATTCGTCATTCCGATCCAGAGACGGTGGCTCGGTGGCCCGTATGATTCTGCCTCAAGACGTATATTTCGAGGCGAACGTGAGGCCCTGAGGATCCTGATTCCTTGGTTCGTGGCCCGTTTCTCCTGGACAGCTCCCAGAGAGCTAGAGGGTCTCCTCTCCAAGGCGCTCAGGCAAATATCCTCGCAACAACCTGCTTGAGGCCGCAGCTTGTGCGGGAAGGATTCTCCCACTTTTCGGGGGGACGTAAAACTCGGGTTCGGGGGACTCGGGTTGGCTTGACGGGGCCATCATCAAAATGACGAGATCCATTCAAACATTTGACGCGAGCTACCGCTGCAAACATCCCACGAAAACTGGACCGTCAAAATCCAGGACGCGCTCGTCAAAAAGCGTTGGCAAACCTGAGCTCTGGCGTATTCGAATCTTACGTTTCCCTGGTCCACGGCTACTGGGCAAACATCCTCGCAATAACCTGCTTGAGGCTAGCTTGTCCGGGAAAGGCTTTCCGACTCCTTCCCACCGCGTGGCGGCAAGCCTTGGCGAAGCTCCTTCGCAGCTCTTCCTGGCCCCCTTTCGCAGGTCCTGCTCTCGAGCTTGCAAGCTCCCAAGTATAAGACGGAACCAAGAGGAAGATAACATCGGGTGAGGATAAATCGAGAATCTCTGAAATCCGGCGGCTCTGGAGGGTGTCTCGGGCGCTGCGGCAGCGTTCCGGAACGCTCTCAGGGCGCTCTGGAACGCTCTGGAACGGGTTTATCCTCGTCCTAGCCCCGTCCGATTTGAAGCCTCTTTGCAAGCGTCTCGAACATACTTTTTCCAAGATGCCTCTTGGAGGGCTAAGAGGGCTTCATATCAGAAGCCGGCAGCGCCGGTCAGGGATCCCCGCAGAGCCTTGCTTGAAGCTGCAACGTGTTCTGGAAGCGTTGTCCTACTCATTCCCAATACGTGTGCCGCGAGCCCTTGCGCAGATTCTTCGCAACCCTGCCTGGGCTCATGCTAAGCGTTCCCCGCAAAATTTCCTGCGCCCTGGACTGCTCCGCTATCTGGGTATCGGACGCCGCAAATCTCCCGTATGGTCTCCTGGGTGATCTGCCGTATGGTCTCCAGGAAGATCTCCCGTGTGGACTCACGTATGGTCTCTGGTATGGTCTCCAATTTGGTCTCACGTATGATCTCCCATATGCTCTCCCATCTGATCTCCAACATGGTTTCCGTCATTTTCTCCGGTATGGTCTCCCGTAAAGTTTCCCGCGTGATATTCCTTATGGTCTCCCGTATGGTCTCCCGTATGGTCTGCCGCATGATCTCCCGTATGGTCTCCAGTCTGGTCTCCCGTGTGATTTCTCGTATCGTCTCCAGTATAGTCTCCAATCTGGGCTCCCGCAGGTGCAGTACAGTCTAATGATCTATGCTTCCTGTAATCATGCTGTTTCGGGTCTTGCGCAGCCAAAGTGTAGTCACTTTTGTTTGAGACAACGGGCTAACACTGTTATGCTGCGCCATGCCACCGTTTTGTACGCAGGAATATCACTCCATCACGCGGCTCCCTTGTCTTCATCGTCCACCTATAGCGATCTCGGATCGGGTCAACATCAAACAAATCTACTGCCTCACCATTCCTCGCTCATGACAGAAAGGGTTCCGTCTCTCTCTCTTTCTATATCTCTCTCTCTCTCTTTCCTCCCCTCTCTCTCACACGCAAATGTTCACTGTTCGGCACTGCGCGTGTCACGACCGCTTCAAAGGCACTAGCGGCCGATTGCGTTGCGAATGGAATTTCGCCATCCCACACATCTCTGCCTGGGCTGATTTTCACCGTCTCAAAACATTGGCACGCCCATTGGTCACTCTCCACGAGAAGCGGTCGCACTCTGTGGACTCCATCGCACCCCTGCTCTCTCATTGCCCGGAGTTCTGTCCGCTCCTCGCCCTCCCTGGCAAGACATGCTGGGGATAGCAGACGTCCATGTGCTTGGGGCCCATCCACTTCGCGCCCCCGAGCAATCGCGGACTTCTTCTCCCCCAGAGCTCGTACTTCTGAGAAACATCCTCGACATCAGTATAGAAAACAACGAACAACATAAAGTCGCAGTAACAGCGCAGGGAGGGGGAAGCACGGTCTGTTCAGATGAGTGAGCGCCTCAGCTGCTTGATACTGTCTGCGCACCGCACTTCTACCATTCACGCTCTTCCACACTCTAAATGTTCCGACTTCTGGAAATCGAGATGTGCAAACATTCGGCACGACTCCGTATTGCACGCGCCAAGCCAGAGAGAGGGGGCAGAAATATCATTCACCGTCCCAAGGCGCGTAGCTAAAGTGGGGGCTCGCGGATTGTTATCACGTTGATGTTAAACATGGTTTAGTCTACAATTATTACTGATGGACATCTAATATCCGTCTGGGCGCTCTCGCCTCGGCGCCAGCTGCATTTCCTTTGAGCTTGAGGCTCGCAAGCGCTCAAGCGTTTCGGGGTACCGCCCAAACCGGCCCCCAACAACAGCAGCAGCAGCAGCAGCAGCGACAGCGACAGCGACAGCGACAACAACAATCATTTTAAGACTGCTCGCTCTTATTTGCTCGCGTGTCATTCAAAATGCATATCCCAAGCCCTGGATACCCGCCCTCTTCGTCTTCGATCGTACCCCCTTTTGGGGGTATATTCATTCCCTGCCACGTGTGGTTGGTGAAGCCCTTGAAGACGCAAAGTAACAGATAACGGCCCACGAAGGGCGTGTAATCCGGGGCCACAGAGGGCAGCGACGGGGCCGCTGAGGGCAGAAACGGGGCCACGAAGGGCAGCGAGGGGGCCACAAAGGGCGACAGCGGACCCACGAAGGGCATGCATATGGGGCCACGACGGGCGCGAGCGAGCGGGGGCCACGTAGGGCATTCGTATATGGGGTCACAAAGGGCGACAACGGGGCCACTGAGGGCAGCAACGGGACCACGAAGGGCAGCGAGAGGGCCACGAAGGGCGACAGCGGGGCTACGAAGGGCATGCGTATGGTTGCGAGGAAATCCAAAGTGAGAGCGCGATTCTCCAATAAACTGTGAGGAAGTATCAGGCGGGAGCCGCGATTCGGTGGTAAATTGCGAGGGAGTCCCAAGCGAGAGCGCGATTCTTCAATACATTGTAAGGAAGTCTCAGGCGGGAGCTGTTGTTGGCGCGGGCCACGACGGGCGCGAACGAGCGGGGGCCCCGAAGGGCATACGTATAGGGGGCCGCAGAGGGCAGCGACGGAGCCGCTGAGGGCAGAAACGGGGCCACGAAGGGCAGAGTGGGGGCCACGAAGAGCGACAGCGGGGCCACGAAAGGCATGCATATGGGGCCACGACGGGCGCGAACGAGCGGGAGCCACGAAGGGCATACCTATATGGGGCCAGGAAAAGCGACAGCGGGGACACTGAGCGCAGAAAGTGGGTCACGAAGGGCAGCGAGGGGGCCACGAATGGCGACAGCGGGGCGACGAAACGCATGCGTATGGGACCACGAATGGCGCGAGCGAGCGGAGCCACGACGGGCGATTAATCCGGGGCCACAGAGGGCAGCGACGGGGCCGCTGAGGGCAGAAGCGGGGCCACGAAGGGCAAAGAGGGAACCACGAAGAGCGACAGCGGGGCCACGAAGGGCATGCATATGGGGCCACGACGGGCGCGAGCGAGCGGGGGGCCACGAAGGGCATTCGTATATGGGGCCACAAAAAGCGACAGCGGGGCCACTGAGGGCAGCAAAGGGGCCACGAAGGGCAGCGAGAGGGCCACGAAGGGCGACAGCGTGGCTACGAAACGCATGCGTATGGGACCACGAAGGGCGCGAGCGAGCGGGGGCCACGAAGGGCAATCAATCCGGGGCCACAGAGGGCAGCGACGGGGCCACTGAGGGCAGCAACGGGGCCACGAAGGGCAGCGAGCGAAGGCGACCGCGGAACCAGTACGGGCAGCGAGGGGCATCGAAGGCGGGCGAAGGGCAGCGAGCGGCGACTGCAATCCCTAACGGGCTGGTCGAGCGGGCAAGCCCAAACGGGCGGGTCGAGCGGGCGGATCGTTGAAGCGTAAATTCTGCTTGAACCGCCAGGCAATATGTAGCGGGAGCGCAATTCCTGAGTGTCGAGGAGCGGCATCTGAATAAACTGTGAGGAAGTATCAGGCGGGAGCCGCGATTCGGTGGTAAGTTGCGAGGAAGTCCCAAACGAGAACGGATTCTTCAATAAATTGTAAGGAAATGTCGAGCGGGAGCTGCGATCCGGTGGGAAATTGCAAGGAAGTCCAAAGCGAGAGCGCGATTCTTTAATACATTGTGAAGAGGAAATATCAGGCGGGAGCCGTTGTTGCTGTTGTTGTAAACCGGGGGCCAACAACACAATCTGACCCTCAAGACTTTCCCTGATAAAGAACAGGGTGCGAGCCCCGGGAAGGGCACTTCAATCGAAAAAACAATGTGCACCGGGGGATCAACAATAACTATTCTTCAGAAATGAAAATTCAACAACAACAACGCTCCCGTGCGATACTTTCTCTCACAATTGACTCCGAGAGGACCTGGCCAGAGAAGGCCCGAACCTCAGCACGGGCGCTCTCGCCTGAGACTTCCTCGCAATTTGGCACCACGAAGGGGTCCATCAGAAACAATATTGTCGCTCCTTGCAGATGCCGGAGCGGACGCTTCGCCTGCGACTTCCTAGCAATTCTGCACCGCCAACATGCTGCTGAACCCCATTAAACATTCTACTATAAAACACGGCGAAACTACTGAGAGTACTGGTCGGGAATCCTCCCATTGGAGTCGCAATGCGGAATTCTACCAACAATCCTGGTATGTGGCTCTGCTAGGATATTCATTGTAGGGAGTCTGACTAACAGTCAGAGAAGGAAAGTCTGACCAGGGAGTCTTACTAAGAGTCTGGGCAGGGAATCGCACCAATATTACCAGTTGGGAACATTACAGAGGGTCTGGGGAGCTGTCTAATAAGAATATTAACAATGCCTCCGACTAAGAGTCCACGTGGGGGGTCGGATCGGACTAACAGTCCTGGTGGGAAGTCCCACGGAGAGCCCAAATAAAAAGTCGTACTCGACGTCCTAGCAGGGAGCCCGTCCTACTTGGAGCCTTGATACTCGGGAGTCCAAGTAAGAGTCCTAATGGGAAGTCCCACGAAGGATCCTAATAGGGAGTCCTGCTAACCCAAGACAGATTCCACATTGTCTGCTGTCGAACATCGGCTCCGCTCAGCGCGCTTGCATGCACGTGTTGGGAACGCGTGGAAATCTGTGCTCTGTCGAATTCGCGGGCTGCTTGCAACAAGGTCGAATCGTGCGCTCGCTCGGCGCTTCCCCTGCGGTAGATTCCGCGGGCACGAAAATCGAGCCCGCGGAATTTCTGGGCCAATTTCCAAATGGTCGAATGCCGCGCTCGCTCGGCGCTTCCCATGCGGTGAATTCCGAGGGGACGAAAATCGAGCCCGCAGAATTTCAGAGCAACTTCCAAATGGTCGAATGGCGCGCTCGCCCGGCGCTTCCCCTGCGATGAATTCCGCGGGCACGAAAATCGAGCCCGCGAAATTTCTGGCCAATTCCCAAAAAAGGTCGAGAGGCGCGCCCGCTCGGCGCTTCCCTGGAGTGCTCGCGGAATTTCTACGCAATTTCCAAGGGGTCGAATGGCGGGCTCACCCGGCGATTCCCAAGCGGTAAATTTAGCGGGCGCGAAAATCGAGCCCGCGGAATTTCTGGGCAGTTTCGAAGAAGGGTCGAATGGCGCGCTCGCCCGGCGCTTCCCCTGCGATGCATTCCGCGGGCGCGAAAATCGAGATCGCGGAAGTTCTAGGCAATTCCCACAGGGTCACATGGCGCGCTCGCTCGGCGCTTCCCCTGCGATGCATGCTGCGGGTGTGAACTTCGAGCTCGCGGAATTTCTTGCCAATTCCCACAGAGTCGAATGGCGCGCTCGTCCGGCGCTTTCCCTGCGATGATACTGGGAAGTCCTGCTCAGAGTTGTAGCAGTGAGGCCTACTACGAGTCTTCTTGGGGGTCCTGCTTAGAGTCTGGGTAAAGAGCCCTGCTCAGGAGTCCTAGTAGGGAGTCTTGCCAAAGGTCCTAGTAAGTAATTTTGATTGAAGGGGCCACGCAGGGAGTCGGAATAAGAGTCTTCGCGTAGGGGGTCGCGCTGACAGTTCTAATAAGGAGCCCTCCTAGGAGTGCTAATGGGGAATCTTACTAAAAGCTTTTCAAAAGGTCGCGCTATGAATTTCAGCAGGGAGACCCAACTTTAAGAAACGGGTCCTAGCAAGAGTCTTGGTAAGAGTTCCAAGGGGTGTCCCCTTAAAAGCCCAGAGCTCTCTTTTTTGTTTGTTCTCTCATTCTCTCTGTGTCTATGTGTCTTTGTTGAGTGTAAGACAAATATGGAAAACCATCGGGAAGCAAAGAACAGGCAAGATCACAAGATCGGTCTCCCGACCTAGACGCCTCCCCTCTAAGATGGGCCCTAAACCCTTAAGTGCCTTCAACTCGCCACCGTTCGGACGTCCGTGCCCCGTGCATTCTTCGACTTTTTTCTTATTCCCCATATCCTAAGATGGGGTCATTGTTATTACTTGGACGCCTCCTCCTCCTCCTTCTCCTCCCCTCTCCTCCTCATACCCAGGCTTACTCATACACATACTGACTCACACTCAGACTTACTCATACCCAGACTTACTCACACACACAACATTACTCTTGCTCAGACCTACTCATACTCAGACCTACTCCTACTCAGACTTACTCACGGTGAGAGTCACTCATGCCCAGACTAACTAATACTCAGACTTGTTCTCAGACTTACTCATACTCAGACCTGCTCGTATTCAGATCTTTTCATTGTCTGATTTATTCCACACACAGCAGATTGTGAGGATGTCTCAGGCGGGGCGATGGCTTCAGCCCCCCTAAGGGGAGCCGCTAGGGGTGTTTTCACGGTCCCGTTCGCGGCCGTTTTGTGGGGACGTCTCAAGCGGTTTGCCTGTTTTCTGTCCCAGCATCCTTCGCTTTCGGAGCAGATTTGGAGGATGTCTCGAGCGAGGCGCTCATTTTCAGCATCCCTAAAGGGAGCCGCCAGGGGTATTTTCACGGTCCCGTTCGCGGCCGTTTTGTGGGGATGTCTCAAGCGGTGTGCCTGTTTTCTGTCCCAACATCCTTCTCTTTCGGAGCACTTTTGGAGGACGTCTCGAGCGAGGCGCTCATTTTCACGTCCCTAAGGGGAGCCGCCGAAGGGTTTTGCACGGTCCCCTTCGCGGCCGTTTTGTGAGGATGTCTCAAGCGGTTTGCCTAATTTCTGTCCCAACATCCTTCGCTTTCGGAGCAGATTTGGAGGACGTCTCGAGCGAGGCGCTCATTTTCACCCACCAGGTGGGCCAGATTTTGAGGATGTCTCGATCGTGGGCGCAGATTCTCCTCAGGATGCCACAAGAGGCTCCAACAGGCTCCAGGAGGCCCCAGGAGACCACATGAGGTCCCAGGAGACCACATGAGGTCCCAGGAGGCATCAGGAGGCCACAGAAAGACTCAAGAGGCCACAGGATGTCCCAAGAGGCTCTAGGAGGCCCCAGGAAGCTCCGGGAGGCCTCAGGAAGCCATGGGAGGCCCCAGGAGGCCAGAGGAAGCGCCAGGAGGCCTCGGAAGGCAACAGGAGGCCCCGAGAGGCCCCAGGAGCAGTCCCGAGCGCCCAAATGGCTAGACGCGCATTCCCAGATCCCACTGACAATTATCCTTTTTAAACATATGCACATATGGGGATCTCCACGCAGTGAGTAATCTATAGACGTGTTGTTTTGTTTTTCTCGCACGATGACCCAGGATGGTCCTCGATTGTCCTCGCCGAAAACATTCACACGTCCGAGCGATGTCAAGTCAAGAGATCCTCAAGATGTCCCCTGAGAGTTTCCCAAGTGACCTCCAAGAGGCCCCCAAGAGGATCCCTAAGAGACTCGAGTCTGCCTCTGAAGTGCTCGTGTCCACGACCCAGGCACGTTGGAGGGATGGGCCGAAGGCCATTCGATACTCTTGAATGTCACCATCCTGGTGCACTTCGCCGTCCATAGTCATCATTTGACACGGCCCTGCGGTGTTTGAAGGCGCAAAGGTGATAATAGAGGCGTTTGCCGAAATTGCTACAGTATTGCCCTGCTTTCATTGTTTACTATTCGGTTACCTCTGCTAGGACACAGTCGGGCATCGAGGAACACTGTGGGAGGGGGCGCTTGGCACACATTTTATTTCTTCTCTTGCAAGTTACCTTGGCACTGCCATCATGTCTCACTGTGACTTGAACGGCGGTGTGATTGCGGCTCTGAATGGCCGATTATCCGAGGTGTGCTGACCTGGATGCATGGCTCGGTGAGGGACAAGAATTGTCTAAATCACTGATCTCTGGACATCTCCGGGCGTGAACGCATCGTCTTTTGGAGCCAACATAAAACGCATTTCAGGTTCTTGCCTTAGCCACCACCTCAAACAGGGCTCTGTGCTGTGATCGTTCTTTCGCTGCTGCTTGTGCTGCAGCCCACACGTGCCCGCCATGCCCACTCAAATGGGCGACTCCAGAACCATTGAATCCAAAACGTTAGCATCTCCTGGAGGGCCGATTCTTGCTTCTGCCGACCTCCGCCGGTTCCTCCCGCCAGCTTCCGCCGGGGTTCTGCCGCCTTCCTCCCAGGAGAAAGTGCCAACTTCACGAACCATCGAAGGCGATGCCCTTTTTGGAACGCGCTACATCTCGTCATCATGGACAGACTAGACTGAGGGGGGGGATGGGGGGCAGAGGGCCCCTGGTATTCTCGCGTCCTGGAAAAATCACGACGGAACATTTTTGCTGTTTTTGGGCTCAAGGGCTTCTGCGCTGTTCTTCGTTGCTCCCCTTGCCGCCTCGTCGGTCCCAAATTTCCGACGGAATTATTGTTCGCAGCCGGCGTTTTTTTCCGTGGGGGTCGATTTCGGACCCCGCGAACATCAAACATGGATCTGGCTGGGACGAGGAGTTCCGGGAAGGGGTCGGGACCTCTGGGGCCGCGGATGGACAATATCATATCGGCGGATGTCAAAATTATTCTTCATTGTTCCCCTTGCCGCCCTGTCGGTCCTCGATGGTGGTGCCACCCGTGCGGGGTATGTGGATGAACTCCGGCCCGGTGATCTTCTGGAAATTCAGCAGCCTGAAGTCGTCCTCACAAAACCAGCTGCACGCAGGAGTGACCCTAGGCACGAATGCGCTTTCGTGTGCGGCTTGCCGATCATTGCGTGCGATGCGACGGCGGCGGCCTGCGTGCTTGGGTTCCGACTTCCCTCGCGCCCCCCGAAGGCCGCGCACCAGAGGTCACTCCGGCAAGAAGGTCACCCTTTCGCGTGCCCGATGAGAGGTCGCTAGAGGTGGCCCCGCACCAGGGCCACTGCCGCGGAGTCCGCCCAGGCGGGCGCTTTGGGACCTCCTGCTCCCTCCTTCTCCTGCTGGTGCTGCTCTTTCAACTCCTCTCCCTACTCCCTTTGATAGCCATGCTGGCGGACGCTGCAAAACGTGAACGCAAACAACCGAACCCGCATCCGAAAGCAAAGTGCTTCCCCAAGGTTGATGAACATGCCGCCGCCCATCGCCTAGACTAGCCGTGGCGCTGTCTGGAGCGTGATAAGAAAACTGCTTCCAAACCAAAAGCACGCCATGGTAGCAGCACCAGCCGGAGGGGCTACACAAAGGCAAACACTCTTGCTGACGAGTGTGGCGCGGTCTGGCAACATCCCCGTGGAGGCCATGGATGACGTTCGGAAGGTCTTGGGCGTCACAAGCGCGAACTACGCCCTCAACGAATTCAGGATAAATGGCAAAAATGTTATGGTCCAGAGAATCGAGAAAAATATCCAAATTACGCGACATGTACGCCGCCAATATGGAAAAACATCGGCTGGAAATGGTCTACCGATGTCTCGACGACCTCATCGCATACACCAATGAAAGCATCAATCCGCTACCGCGTCTTCAGCACCCAGGTGCGTGCTAGAATTTGCTGGCAGGAAACAGTGCGAGCTGACCACATGCTTCCACAGCTGGCGCCACCTTCTTCACTAGGAGCTGCGGCGGGCAACCAACTCGCGCTACGAAACGCAGCTGTTCAACCAACAACTCGCGCGCGAAGAAATAATCGCTGAGACGATGCACACAGAAATGCCCCAAAGTGGGACAAGGGAGAAGGAGGAGGAGGAGGAGGAGGAGGAGGAGGAGGCGGAGGAAAAATAAGAGAAGGAATATGAGGAGGAGGAGGAGAAGGAGGAGGAGGAGGAGAAGGAGGAGGAGGAGGAGGATCAGTCATGCCATTCTAGTTTTTCTTGAACCAGGTTTCTGTTGTCATCCTTGGAGCGTCGAGGCGGCACGGATCCAGGGGCACTCCAGAGCGGTGGCACATCGGCGCCCGGAAAACCTTGATACCACCCATGTGGTGCCAGGGCGAGGCAAGCAGGACAGTCCGCGTTAGCGGTTATATAAAATGCAGCACCACGAGCACTATGAAATGCGAGGGGGGGTGGACTCCAAAACGAAAAAGGGCGGTGGTGGGGTTGTTGGACGGTGAGAGGAAAGGCTGCAAACGAAAACCCTCACTCACTTCCTGAATCCCATGCTGAAACAAACCCATCAATCATGCCATTCCAGTTTCTTGAAACAAGTTTCTGTTGTCATCCTTGGAGCGTCGAGGCGGCACAGATCCAGGGGCACTCCAGAGCGGTGGCGCATCGGCGCCCCGAAAACCTTGATACCACCCCACATACGCAAAACTCGTTAGCGGTTCGAGCTGCTCCGGCTTAGTCTAGCTCTCGCCCAAGGCACCACTGAAATACCGGAACGGCAAGAGGCCTCAAGTACTCGAGCGAACCCGTTGTAAATGAAGATTTTTGCCAGGCAGGACCCGAACCGATAGGGGTAGGCGGCCACGCGCTTGGTCCAGCGGACCCTATGGGGGCCCCCTCCAGTCGACACAATATGGAACTGCTTGGAGTACTCACAGGGCCTAGTTCCGTTGCTACCACACTTGAAAATCATGTTCTCGATTCCTGTCAGTCCAGCGCACCAAAGGGTCGTAGGTTGTTTTCCATCGGGCTCCAACACCACACATGTGAGTAACGATGTGTTCGACGATGCGGCCTCGACTGAAGCCTTGAAGCTCAGGGGTGGACCAAATTCAGCTCGTCGGCGGATTCTCGATGACCCGCGGCACGTTGCACTGAGTAGCGCACGCGCAAAACTGGGCAGTCAGCTGCATGAGGCGGGTCCCCATCTCGAGCTGCTCTCGAACACGGGGCGCAACGTCGGGCAACCCAAGGATATATTGTCTGGACCTGATCATTGGCCTTCTCGCAATAGAGTAAGTGGTGCACGGGGGAGCACAGAACAGGCCAAGACAGCGAGGGTGGGCGATCAACTTCCTGACACGCCGGTGAACACTGGCACGAGTGACGTCTCCCTGTGGGCCCAGATGAATGCCAAAGGCAAAAACTGCGCTCGGCGGCCCGACTGAAACTCTCACATCCACTGAATACTTCAATCGCGAAGAAACCTTTCCTGGCGGCACGCCTCGGTGCGCGCGGAGCTGCTGGCCGGCTCTGAGGAAGGCCGTCTCGAGCTCGAGCGCGCACCTTGTGCGCATCAGCCGGCTCCGCTGGTCCAGCTTGTTGTAGACGTCCTGCGCAAGGGCCCTTTTCTCGTGCCTCCTGACCGACGCCATGGTCCTCCATTTTCCCCGCCGTTGTACTTCGGCGAGGTCGAAGCGGTCGTGAAGTCGATCCAGGCCGGCACCTGAGTGCCTCCATGCACAGGACGGGCTTCAGGTAGCTGATGCCGATTGCGCCGCGCACGGTCAGGAAGCTCGCGTTCATCTGCTTCAGGCTGAAGTCCCACAAAGGCCCCCCGGTTGGGCGGGAGTCCACATGCATCATCAGGATGTCCGACAGCCAGGGGCGGTTTACAATGAGGCTCGTCCACCGCACCCAACTTGCTGGACTGGCCGTGCCCGGCGGGGTGCAGCAGGATGGCCGCCAGCGACATGTGCCGCTGCGGCGTCGCCCTGAACACCTGGGCGGCCCTGAGATCCAGGTGCCCCCCCGGCCGCATGTTGGTATCCACCATCAGCAGCCAGGCCAGCGCCATGCCCAGTCCATCCATGCGCAGCAGGTTCACCGGGATCGCGGCCGCTATTTCCCACGGCAGGGGTCGGCGGGCCCTCCTGGGCACCAGGCGGCGCCAACCCCGTTGCGAGCGAGCCGCCCTGGGCAAGGTCATCATTCCCTTGGCATTGTACACAGGCACCACATACTGGATTGCTGCTATGAGCTTCCCCCCTGTCGAGGGCGCCCTGCCCTCGAGAACAAGCCGATCGAAGTAGCAGGCCACGTGGATGTCCAGCTCCGCTGGGTGTAGGCTGAGGTCCACGACATTCAGCTTTGTCTGGAAATCCGAGAGCAGCCGCATGCACCGACCTCGGGTCTTCAGCGTCAGCGAGGCCTCCTCGGTGATGCCGGGGGCCCTCTGTCGTGTTCCGCAGCTCCCCGTGGGTTGCCAGCCGCCTCGCGGCTCGCTTCTGCTGCAACTTCAGCTCTCTCTCGCGCTCGGCATCCTTGAGCTCCAGTAGGCCCATGCTCGGGTGGCCAGGAGATCGGGGAGTGGCCCCGATCAAACTCGACACGTTCGGGCCGGTCTTCTGCCGCTTGCCCTCCTGTGCTTCGCTCGACCTGCAGGGCGCTGCGGGTAGACGCCTCGCCTGCCCTTGCCGATCTGACTTGGTCCCTGGACGTAGGTGACTCGGCGGCCACGCTGTTGACTGCGTTGCTCTTCGTAGATGGCTCTCGCTTGCGAGATGGTCCATCGGCGGTCGGAAGGTATCTATCGGCACGCGAATCTGGACCGAGTGGCAGGAGCCCACGCGGCTGCTTTGCGATGGAGCATAAGGAAACGTGGATCTCGGCAGCGGCCCTTAGAGAGAGAGACAGGATGAGCCCAATATTATCTCCCAGTATCAACCACGAGCGGCCCCAGCCCTTCGGATCTTGCGCCGCCTGACGAATCGCCCCCAAGAAACCGCGCATCTCGGTGACATGTACCGGCTCATGCGTGAAGACGGGCTGGAAACGCTTGACAGTCCACGGCGTAGCCTTCACCGCGCTAGCGGGCACCTCGGGAAACTCCCCATTAACGTAGACGTTGCTGAAAACGACCTCCCTGTCTTCCCAGATACCTACCCCCAAAGTAGAGACGTCCTTGAGAGCACTGGTCCGCGGATTGATCCCTGCTGGGTCCTCGTCGTCTTTGAATCGCCAACGCTCGTGCCACTTACCTACTAACTGTGCACCCCCCGCCGTCTAAGCCCACCTTGCTGTAGCATGCCCGGACTCCCGCGCATCATAAGCGAATGCTTCCTCGGACCATTTCGAATTGAGGTCTCGGGAAGCAGAAATCAAGTGTCCCTGGATCGAGCGGAGCTCGCGGAAAACGCTTTTTCACGTGACCTTGGGATCCCTAAAATTACCCCGAGCAAAATCATAGCTAGCACGGAGACCACTGAGGAGCTCACGTTTTATCAAAGCTACAAAAGTAAAATGACCAACCAGACGCTCGACTGGGCGGTTGGTCATCAGCGGCCGCCTGCGATGGATCCACTCCAGCGCCCGCCAGAGCTTCCAGTACCGCTTGGCCGCGACGGCCACCCAGCAAGGCTGCCCCTGCTGCGCGAAGCCTAGCATCTCCATGCTCTCGGCGGCGTCCGACTCGTCGTGGGTGGCGTAACCCGCCGCGTGTAGCGCCTCGCGCGCCACTCGGCGGAGCCGCGTCCCCTCGTCCCTGTCGCAACCCTCGATCAGCACGTTGTCCACGTAGACCGCGCGCAGCGCCCCCTCCTCCGGCCGCGGGGGGGGAAGGGGGCGAAAATCGACCGCCCGTCGCCGCGGCCCCAGCTCAGGCACGCGATCAAGTACATGTTCATGGATGCGTTGAACGATGTAGAGGGCCCACTTCCAGCCCATGGGGGCCACGTTCATCAAAGGGTAGAGCCACGTGTCTCCGGCTAGATACTGCCTTCCATCTGCGCAATGCCAACCTCGCTCGCCCTCGCCCCGTCCAGGCCGAAGTAGGGCTGCAGCCAGGCCGGCATCCGATGCTGGTGAGATGCGTTCTGGACATCGCCCCCTGCA